ATTTTAACTTACCTATTAGTATATTAATATCTAAAATATAATAGCTTTAATAAGAATATATAAAAAGGTTATTTAACGTTATATATATACTTATAAATAATATACTAGTAAATAGGCTTATAAAAAGTCTTATATATAGTAAGTTTAAATAGTTTAGATTACTACTTAATCTTTAAGATATATAAATAATACTTATATATACTTAGGAAAGGAGGTTAGTAAAAAGTAAATACCTAAAGGCTATTTAAATTCTTATTTATTACCTATAGGCTGTTTTAAAACCCTTTTCTAGCCTATAGGCCTATTACTTCTAACTAGAAGCCTTAAAAAGAAGTTATTTTTTTACTATTATTACCTCCTAAAGATTTTATATACTAGTCTATAAGGATATAGTACGTAGGTATTTACTTTATAAGGAGAATAGTACTAATAAGGGTGTTAATTATAAAGTAAATAGCAGCCTATTAACCCTTATTTATAGTAGTAATAGCTATACTAGAGGGGGTATTACTAAATACACCTATAATAACTAATATATTTTTACTAAATCTACTATTAAAAGGTCTAAGGACTTTTTAAGAGGTAAGTAGTACTAATACTACTTTATTAATCTTTTATATACTAATATAAAGGTCCCCCTAAAGAAAGGTCCCCTTAAATATAATATAGCTATATAACTTAGTAGTTATATAACTAAGGACCTAAGTATAAGTTAGTAGCTAACTATAATAAGTTAGTATATAAGAATATATACTAGAAGTAATATTACTACGCTTTATAGCTAGAAACTCCCTTATTAAGTAATAAAGCTTTAATCCCTTATATATAATAATATATAGTACCTTACTTAAGGTATAATATTAATATTTATAAGATTAGCTCCTAGCTACTAGCTTATACTACCTTAAGGAGTTATTATAAAGTGTACTTATAATACACCTTATATACTTAACCCTCTTTAAGGTAGGCTTAGGGGTCTTAGCCTAACTACCTCCCTTAGCCTCCTCCTCCTCTTTTACCTTAAAGGCAGCTTATATTATATAAATAAGTTAGTAATATATTACCTAATAAGTAGTAAATAGTAATATATATTTAGCGTTATACTAAAAGAACTCTTATAGTATAGCCTAGCCTCTAGCTATAGCTATAGCTAGGGTATAAGGGGAGAGAGAGGTATTAGTATTAGAGGCTTATAAGCTATCCCCCTCTTTATTTTTCCTTTTTATACTTATAATAAGGTTATTAAAGACCTTATTACCTTTATAGCCTTTATCTTAGTTATACTAGTGTTAAACGTTAGTATTACTTAGTAATATAAAGATAAGATAATAGTAAACTACTTATATTAGAGGGAGGGGACTATAGGCTAGTTATCTAGAGTATTAGAGGGGCTACTACTCCCCTTTACTACCTTATATTACTTTATGTAATACCTAAGCGCTACTATATATACTATAGTAGTATAAGTATATATAGCCTCTTTATTTCTTTTAGTAAGTATTTATTTAAAATAATTAGTATTATAAATTACTTAGCTTATAATAAGTAATTATAGTAAGTTATAACTATAAGATAAAGTAAAAAAAGATATAATAATATATATAGTTATTATTATTAATAATAAAAAAAAAAGAAAAAAAAGCCTAACCTTTACTTAGTAAAAAGTTAAATAATAATAAGGTAAAAAGATAGTTTAATAGTTATTTCTTAGCTAATTAAAAGCTACTATTTTACTTAATAATTTATATAGCTAGAGGTATAAAAATAAAGATAAATATAGTAATTTATTCCCTTTAATAAAGGCTTATATAGTATTTTCTTTATATAGTAGTTACCTCTTATAACTAGGCTTTATAAAGCGCTATACGCACTTTACTTTATTTACTTAATAGTAATCTTTTTTATATTTAGTAGTTTTTAGGTATATAATAATCTATAAATAGTTAATTACGCCTAGAGGGGTATATTATAATACCCTTATATATATTACGTGTATCTAGCTCTAGTTAGCTAATTTCTTTAGACTAAAGAAATAGTTATTCTAAACTAAGTCTTGTCTCTACGTAGCTAACCTACTTAAAGAATATGTATTTCTTTAGGCTAGATTACCTATCTCTACACTATAGATAGTTAAGCCGTTTTCCTTATAATCTTTCCTACCTAAACAGTACCTTTATAATAAAATTACTAAATTTATAATATTTTTCTTAAAGATCTATAAATATAGTAAATTTAACTATATTAGCTATATTTTAATATCTTTTTACTAAGTAGTATACTTATATACTTTCTTATAATAGTAGCTTATCTAGCTATTTAAGTATATAAATTTATATAGGTTAAGATTATCTAGTGTTATTATATATTTAGTTTTATATATAAGCCTATTAGGTATAGCTATAATAGCTTTACTTCTTACCATATATAGCTATATAGTTACTTACTAAAATATCTTAGTAATTACTATAGCTATAGTAACCTCTTAGTAAGTAGTAAGCTTATTTTTAGTTAAGGCCTATAGATATTATATTATAAGTAGCTTTATTAGTTTCTTTAGATATATCTTAAGGATTAATTAGGTTACTACTATAACCTTTAGGTTAATATATTTCTAGAGATTATAACGCTTTACTTTTACTTAGATAGCGTTAAGCTATATAATCTAATTACTATATAATTATAAGATAGTTACTTTATTATTATTATTCTTATTAATTATTATAATATTATTTAATTAGTAAATAGGTATATTAGTTTTTTTAAATATATATATTAGACTATTAATTATTAAATTATAAGAATTATAATAGTTAATTAATTAATTTTATTATATATTATATAACTATTATAAAATTCTCTAGGAATAAGAAAAACCCCCTATTTCTTAGTTAGGAAATCCCTAGCTAATCCTAGTAATATTATTAGTAAAGCTACCTCTAAAAGTAGGGCTAATTTACTGCCTATTCTCTAATAGTTTACTATAGGGTAGCTATGTATTTACTAGCTAATTTACTTATAATTCTACTATATTTAATAATATTACTTAAATAGTATTAAGCTATATAAACTAATCACTATATAATTATAAAATAGTTACCTTATTATTATTATTTTTATTAACTATTATAATAATATTTATTAATAAATAGATATATTAGTTATTATAAGTAACGTATTTATATAGTAAGTTATAGATTATAGTAAGTTACGCACTTCCTTATTGTACCTTAAAGGGTGGATTTTAAACTATTTATTAAAAATTAAAAACTTAACTAAAATAGATATAGCTTTCTATATAGCTTTTTAATAAGACGTATAAAGCAATATTAAATCTCTAGAAAATATTGTCTTAATAGTACTAGAAAAACCTTTTTCTAAAGTACTTAATAAGGCTTAGAGTTTATGTCCTTATAATAAGTAAGACAATATTTTCTAGAGATTTAATATTACTTTATACGTCTTATTAAAAGCTATATAGAAAGTTATATCTATTTTAGTTAAGTTTTTAATTTGTAATAAATAGTTAAAAAACCACCCTTTAAGGTATAATAAGGAAGCACGTAACTTACTATAATCTATAACTTACTATATAAGTATATTATATATATTAAACTATTAATTATTAAATTATAAGGATTATAACTAATTAATTAATCTTACTATATATTATATAACTATAGTAAAATCTTATAAGAATAAGGAAATCCTCTTATTTCTTAGTTAGGAAATCCTAGACTAATCCTAGTAGTATTATTAGTAAAATTACTATTAAAGTAAGGTAATTTTACTACCTATTCCCTAGTAATTTACTATAGGGTAACTGTATATTTACTAGTAAATTCACATGTAATTCCGCTATATTTAAAAATTAACTTAACTTATCTTTCTCTCTAATCTAGGCCCTTAGCTAATAACACTATAATTGCCTACTTTAACATAATTTAACGCTTTAAAGTCTAGAACCCCTGTCGACAATTCTCCCAGGTGGCATGTCCTCCAAAACGGAGACACAATTCTGGAACAACATTGATCCGCTAAACTAGGCTCTGAAAATTCCCCTGTCACGTCATAGACGCAGATGCACCCCGCCGGTTCAGACCAAAACCCCTGGAAACGTTTTACTGTGGAACAGAATAGGGTTCAAATAGACATTTTGCTCAGCGTCACTTCGATTCCCGGTATCCCTATGGAATACAACGCCATTTACCTTGCGCTGGCCGCGCTGGCCGTTCTCGCCACCCGACAGAATCTAGCAGCCCAGTCACGCAGAAGACGCAGACTTCACCAACACTCCAACGAGCGCGTCCTCATCCTTGGCGCTTCCAGTGGCGTCGGTCGCGCTGTTGCCAAGCAGTATGCTTCTCGTGGAGCACAAGTCTGTGTGGTGGCACGTCGAGTTGAAGAGATCGCTGCTCTTGCCGAAGATTGCGGAGAGAGATGTATTTGGCACGCCGCAGATTTCAGTGACGTCGACGATTTGATCAGTCTAAGGGCTCGTCTCGAAGAGGAATGGCGGGGTTTGGACACGTTACACATCTGCGCTGGCGTCTCTGCTCTGCAGCCCATTATGGCTCTCACTGGGACCAAATCTGACGACGTTAATGCAGACGCAGCAGGGATTCGAACTGCTGTCGACATTGCAGGACGGGCCTTGAAGGGTAACTTCTATGGACCGTTTGCTTCAGCTCTTTCATTTGTGAGACTTGCTCTTGTTCATAGCACGGATACGGCACTAAGAGTATGCAGATTCCCATGTTGACAAGAACCTCCGAGTCACCATCAATTCTTCTGGTCTCTTCAGTAGCTGCGGTGATCCCTGCACCAACGAGAGCGCTCTATGCAGCGACCAAAGCCTCTTCGCTCTTGATGTTCCAGTCTTTGGCAATAGAGCACCCGAAAATTGCGTTCGCCTTCATCCTGCCCGCAACTATCGAGGGCAATTTCCGGGCATCTGCGGTAGATTCTGGCCCTGTCAGAGAAGATGACCCAAATAAGCACGGGTTAAAGATCGATTACGTTGCTGCCAAATGTATTGATACAGTTGATCGTGGTATCACTGGAAACGTCATATTGCCCAAGTTTCCATACGCTGTTGCACAGTATCTGTATCTTCTCTGGCCATCTTTCGTCGAGGCTCGTGCCCGCAAGAAGTACAACTTTATGCCATAAGAGAAGTTTGGGTATAAATCATCAGTGGGATGGTTATGGAATATGCCGTGGTGTGTGTGTGCTTAGCACAACAGCTTTACGTAATTCCTGAGCGTAGGTCTTGCACCTCTCTCATCCTTGCCCCGCTCGATGGAGGGGCATAAGAGGTCCAGGTCATAGGTGGACATCATACCATACAGGTGCGGTCGCTCACGCATTTCACTCAGCTCAGCGCAAAAGCACAAGCTTCCTGCACCACGTGCCCTTTGTCACAGAAAAGCAGGATGAACGGTGTGGTGTGTCGAGAAGAGGCCAGTCAGGACTGGTTGAGTGTGATTGAGAGCTAGAATGCTGGTGGGAATTAGAAACCAAAGAGCAAGTGAAGTATGTGGTGTGAGGTTATTATGTTCATGAATCAACTTCTATCATCACTGCCGAACAGATGCTAGGTTCTAGTACAGAACTAGATGCTCCTAAACTCCTGGTAGAATAGCCACTTATCTTTTTACCTTACACTGATATCCCAAGGAACCACAGCCTCTGGCTGTTCTATCAGAACTCCAACGTCACAAACAGAAAGCGATAACTAATACCCATCAGTAAACGTAATTAAGCGTAGTGGTAAAGTTACAGGTCAACGCGCTCATGGACATCAAGAGCATTGCTAACCAAGCTAGGAAGAACACATTTTCTGAACATGTGCTGTACATCCGGCACTTGAAAGTCGGCCAGGTAGGTAAAAAACAAAAGAAGGTAGAGTTAGCCTAGCTGAGATCGCGAGAGGCGGCTTAGTTATGCTATATGTCTGTGCAGCTGGCTTAGGATAGCTGGTTTTTAATAATAGGACTAGACTTTAAGCATTAGGACTATAGTGCGCCTTATTTTATGTGACATGCTTAGGCAATCCAGCCTAGCTTATAATTAGAAAATCTACCCTCTTATAAATACTCTAAATCTTAGTTATCTATGCTGTATAACTTATCTATACTAATTGTTTGCTAATCTAAGCGTTTAATGCTTAGTTATATATAAGCCTCCTATAACCTAAACTAGTAATCCGGCATGGTGTAGTGGTTAGCATACTCCGCTTTCATAGAAAGGCCCGGAGAGATCCGAGTTCGATTCTCGGTGTCGGAAGATATGTTTCGCCGCCTTTTTTTTTATCCCTTAACCCTACCCTCCTCTTCCTCTTCCTCTTCCTCTTTTTTTGTAACACTAAAGATCTAACTTATTAGTAGAACCTTAAGTAAAGTAAGTATAATAAGTAGACCTTATTAGTATAAGTAGACTATAGGTATTAAATATAATAAAAGTATATATAAATTTACTAGTAAAAGATATAGTTACTTTATATTAAATTACTAAGGAATAAGCAGTAAGATTGCCTTACTTTAGGAGTAATTTTACTAATAATATAGCTAAGATTAGCCTAAGATCTCCTAAGTAATAGATAAAGAGATTTCTCTATTTCTATAGGATTTTACTATAGTTATATATATATAATTAATTAACTATTATAATATCTATTATTTAATAGCTAATAGTCTAGTATATAATTCTTTATAATAATTAATATACTTACTTACTAATTAAATAATGTTATAATAATTAATAAGAATAATAATAATAAGGTAATTATTTTATAATTATATAATAATTAGTTTATATAGCTTAGGCTATTAAAGTAAAAGTAAAGTATTATAATCTCTAGAAATATATAAACCTAAAGGTTATAGTAATAGACTAATTAATCTTTAATATATATCTAGAGAGACTAATAGAGCTACTAGTAGTATAGTATCTATATATATAAACTATAAATAAGCTTACTACTTACTAAGAAATTACTATAGCTATAGTTATTACTAGGATATCTTAGTAAGTAACTATATAGCTAAGTATAGTAAGAAGTAAGGCTATTATAGCTATACCTAATAGGCTTATATATAAATCTAAATATATAATAAAACTAAATAATCTTAACTTATATAATCTTATATACTTAAATAGCTAAATAAGCTACTATTATAAGGAAATATATAAGTATACTACTTACTAATAAAATATTAAAAACATAACTTATATAGTTAAATCTATTATACTTATAATTCTTAAAAAGAAGTACTGTAAGTTAACTAACTTACTAGCTAAATAGCTTAATAAGCTTAATATAGTAGTAGAAATTACAAAAAAGAAATATATAAAGTATATTTATAATAAGTATAGTAAGGTATTAGTAAAAGCCTAGTAAAAGACCTTAATAATTAAAAGAAGATTTAATAAATAGACATAAGGTATTAATATATAAGTATAACTCTTATATAGACATACTAATTACACACTCTAATTAGCCTAAAAAGAAATTATTAGTATAGCTAAATTCTACTAGGCCTATAGAAGGTACCTTACGTTTTTTATCTTCCTTACTATTATATTAATTTAACCTTATTGTTATCCTTACTATTTACTTACTATAGCTTTAAAAGGTGTTCTATAGCGCCTAACTCAGCCTATTTACCCTCCTAAGACAGGACGTATTGATTATAAGCAACTATTAGTTAATTATAACTTGAAAACCATCTGTTAGTTGTCCTATATCTGCCTCCTTAGACTTAAATAAGAAGAGGGGCGCTCTTTACGGCCGTGGAAAATAGGCTTAGCAAGAGGGGCGCTCTTTACGGCTGTAGGAAAAGGTCTTAATAAGGGCCTCCTTTTTACAGTTATAAAGATTGCCTCTTAGAGAGCCTGTTTTCTACTGCTATAAAAGGACTAAGAAATGCGACCGTACAAAAGAGTACGCAGGTCGTCACCTGTTTTGTTACTGCAATTGAATGGTTACACACTTATAAGGGCAATTGATATCTAACTCACCCCCTCAATGGCTTACGAAGCTTATAGGCCTTAGACACGTTATGTGAGGTAGAAACCCTAGATTCCTAAGTAAAGACCCTCTATTATGTGTGTCGCGACCGTGCATCGAACTCAGTCAATTGACTGGGAGCTGGGCTCATAACCACTAAGAAATGCAACCGTACAAAAGAGTACGTAGGTCACCTGTTTTGTTACTGCAATTAAATAGTTACACACTTATAAGGGCAATTAATATCTAACTAAAGGGACCCCCTTGTAAAGCCTATTTCCTATAGCTATATAGGTTAATTTAATAATAGTGGGATAAAATAGCAGAAGTGTTAGTGAAATCAGGTTTACCGCCTTGAAGGGGATATAGCGGTTTTTTAGGCTAATTAGAGTGTGTAATTAGCATGTCTGTATAAGAGTTATACCTATATATTAATACCTTATACCTGTCTATTAATTTCTATTAAAAAGATCTTATAGTAAAGCTTAATAAATAAAATACAAATTATAGTAAATTAGCTAAAGTTAATTTACTTAACTATTAGTAGGTATTAATTTAGTTTAATTACCTTATTATTATACTATAAGGTAGTATACTTAGTGTCTAGCTAGACTTATATATAGTAACTAGTAAAATAATTAGTAATTAAAATAATCTAGACTAGTAGTCTCTTTATAAGATAACGTTAGAGAAAGTTAAAGCCCTTACTAATAACTTACAATATTATAGCTAAGTAGCCTATAGTATATATAGCGTCTTAAAAAGTAATAAGAATAATAAGTAATTATATAGTAAAAGTATAATAAAAGAGAATAAATTAACTAATAAGAGGTATTACTACTAATAAAGCATAAGATAAAAAGTAAGATACTTTATATACTTTAGCCTTGCTTTATTATAACTTAATTTATTTATAAATAAACCATAAAGACTTAATAATTAATAGGTAATTACAAAGTGTTAATAATAAAGTTATAATATATCATAATTAATTTTAATCTTACTAAATATATATTAAAGATTAAAACTAAGTTAAATTAACTATATAGTAAATACTAAGTAAAAGTAGTATTTTATACTACTATATAAGCCTATAAGGTAAATAATTTAGCCTTACTTATTTTAGGTACTACTAACTATATATATAACTATATATTATAGTTTATTATACTAGAAGTAGCCTTAATTAGTAACTATATTTAGGCTAATACTACTTAAGTTACTATTAAAGGATATAGTATTATAAATATTATATTGAAAAGTCCTAATAGCTTACTAATAAAACTTTATATATATAATATAATATATTATAGTATATTTACTATATTAGTTATTACCCCTATAAGACTATACTAGTAAGGTATATAATAAGATATAAGCCTAGGTAATAATTACCTAAGATATATAGATTATAGCCTTATAGGCTATATTAAGAAATAAGCTAACTAATAAGTACCTAAGTGTTATAAGAAATATAGCTATAGTTTAAAAGGTAAAGGCGCTTTTACAATATACTTTACTCATAATTTACTACTAAACTTATAAGTAAAGATTAAAAATATAATATTAATATAGTAAGAACTATTTTCTAATAATATAATAATATAGTAAAAGTGTCTTAGCTACCTAGGTACTAAGGCTTTAAAAGGAATTAAAAATACTATATATAAAGTATATCTAAGCTAAGTAAATAATATAATTATATAAGACTATAGTTTATATAGCTTTAGTAAAATAAAGTAGTAATATATCTATATAGTAATTAAAATAATATAATAAGTAAAATACTTCTTTTAACTTTTTTACTTTTTTTTAAGTTTATTAAGTAATAATATATAAAATTAATTAAAACTATATTTTACTTTCTTCTTTATTACTATCCTAAACTACCTGATAGGTTTATATATTATATTTAGTCTTTTTATAATTACTATATTATTATATATATAGTTTACTACCTTTTATATAAGCTTTCTTTTAAAATATTTTCTTACTTTTAGCTTTAATACTTTTTTATTATTATTTCTTTACTTTAGTTATATTAAGTAACTTTTAAGATATAGTTAAGCTTTTTTAGCTTTTTAGTACTAACTTAGTATATTTATTTTTATATAAAGTCTAAAGTTCTTAGCTTTAATAAAAATAAGCTTATATACTAACT